TGCAGAATAATAACGATTTGATTGTTACCAAAGCTGACAAAGGACAAGTGACAGTGGTTATGAATAGAAATGATTACGTGACTAATATGGAATTATTGTTAAGTGATTCGATGACATACAAAAAATTAAATAAAAATCCGATTACACGTCTGACGAACAAACTTCATACGTTAGTAAAGTCATGGCATAATAATGAGATCATTGATGATCAAACATATAAATTTCTGAATTGCACAAATGGTAATTTACCACGGTGTTATGGGCTCCCAAAGATCTATAAGAGCGGGTATCCATTGAAAATCATTGTGTCATCGTTAGGCAGTCCCGGATTCAAATGTTAAAGATGGTTGGACGTTTGTGAATACTATTAAAAATACAAGGGTTAATAACGATGACGTAATGATTTCCTTAGATGTTTGTTCGTTGTTTACAAATATTCCAAAAGATTTAGTTTTTTCTGCAATTGAAAGTCGTTGGAGTGACATAAGTCTAAAAACTAAATTTAATTTGCAACAGTTTCTATACGCTATTGATGTAATACTTACTTGTTACTTGTTGTTACTACTAACTAGTTTTCAATTTAACGAGCAGTACTATGAACAGATTTATGGAAGCCCTATGGGATCCCCTCTATCACCGATATTAGCTGATTTGGTAATGGATGACTTGGAAACAAATTGTTTAAATTCTTTAAGTTTTAAAGTTCAGACTTTTTATAGATATGTGGACGACATTTTTGTTATTTTACCTAGTTCTAAAATAAATGAAATTTTAAGTACATTTAATAATTATCATGAACGTTTAAAATTTACACATGAAATAGAGACCAATTCTTCTATTAATTTTTTAAATTCTACAGTTATCCGCAATGGGAATAAAGTGACAACTAATTGGTTTAGGAAATCTACATGTTCTGACAGATACATCAATTTTCTTTCGAGTCATCCTATTAAGTACAAAATTAATGCGATTTACAATTTAGTAGACCATGCAATTTTACTTTCTAACGAACAATTTCATAATACGAATATTGAGATTGTAAAGAACATTTTAATTAATAATTGTTTTCCGGATCATATTATTAATAAGTATGTAAATAAAAGAATTAATGTACTGAATAACAACAGGAATGTTAACGGTCACAATGCGGATAATAACGACAGTTTGAGTAATGATTTAGATAATAACGTTAATGTGAATTCGGCTCAAGATAAGAATTATGTAATTCCACTCCCATACGTTAAAGATGTTAGCGACAGTATTAAAAGGTCACTTAAAAATGCTAACATAAATGTCGTTTATAGTTTGCCAAAAAAGTTGAATAGGCTGATAAAACGAGGTAAAGATTTAATAACTAATGATATTAAAACGAATGTAGTATACAAGATTAATTGTGAAAATTGTAATGCATCATACATTGGACAAACGAAAAGACATTTATGCACTAGAGTGAAGGAACATGCCAGCAATATTAAATTACATGAGTCTAATCATTCGGTTTTAAGCAAACACAGATGTGATTTTGGGCATAACGTTGATTGGAAATCACCGACCATTTTACATAACGAGAAACATGTAAGAAAGAAAGAGATTGCTGAAATGTTCTTCATAAAGAAGCATGACAATACGGTTAACCTACAGAAAGACACCGAGAATTTGACAAACATTTACGACAAAATAATAAAGATTGTTTAGTGGCGCGTTTCAAATTTAGTCGTTGACAAAACATCATAACGATGGGACGTGTTCCTTTTTTAACTTTTAACTTTCAACATCATAACGGTGGGACGTGTTCCTCTTTTAACTTTTAACTTTCGATTTTAAATAACACCAGTGTGATGTTACGTTAACCTCGGTTTAATTGATGGGTATGTTTATAAAATTTAAATTTATTTTATTAATTTAACACTTAAATGAGTTCTCGTATGTTAAAAACTATTGTGTAATATTTTGTTGTAGAAATTTCACTTGAAAAGGACCACAACCAAATGGTCGAAACGTCGTGAAATAATTAAATAAAATTTGCTAGTTACGTCGAAGTCAAGTTTTCTAAGAATATTTGTTAATTTATCGAATATATTAAATTCTTGATTTAAAAAATTACCATGTAAAATGTGGAGTATAAATAAGAAGATAAAGTGATAACATTTCCTTTGCTAGCAGAAGAAAGAAGAGTATTTGTACTGTGAATTTCGAGCAGAATTTCTTCTAACATATTTGTACTTATATACGCACTTCTCTGCTAATTACAAATCTATTATCAAATTAGAAATAATTATTATCAGAAATGAAAATACGAGCGTTAATAAAATATAAGTTTAGTAAACTGCGTCATTGTCTGTAAGTAAAATGTTCCTTTGTTCTAGAATTTCTCATTTTTTATCCAAATGTGTCGAATAATAATAAAATTAAATTATACTTTTTTTATTTGTTATTACTTTATTAAGTGAGTTATTACTTAAGTATAATAGCAAATAAAAATTTAATATAAATACATATTAAGAGTTTAACTAGGCTCTGTAATATATAAATATAAATTTAACATATATAAGATAGGCAATAAGAGCCAAATCGCGGATGACAGTGCGTTATTCTAAACGAAACTAAATTTTTTCGTTAGAATTAAATACCTGTGCACAAGGCACCAAATTTTTACTTGGACACGGCCAAGATATAAAATTGGAATAATCTCTACAAGAGATTTTAATTCCATGTATCCCCTATTCCCCCTAAAGAAATAAAGTGCGAGAGAAAAATATAGATCCGAAAGTCGCAGAATCGGGAATCGAACCCGAGACCTTTCGCTTGCCGGGCGACTGCTCTTCCAACTGAGCTATTCAGATCCTTTCGATTCTATACTTTTCTCTGTTATATATATTAATGTTGGTAAATAAACGCCTTTAAGCCAGCGTGTATAAATTAAGAGTTTAACTAGGCTCTGTAATATATAAATATAAATTTAACATATATAAGATAGGCAATAAGAGCCAAATCGCGGATGACAGTGCGTTATTCTAAACGCGTTTATTTACCAACATTGATATATATAACAGAGAAAAGTATAGAATCGAAAGGATCTGAATAGCTCAGTTGGAAGAGCAGTCGCCCGGCAAGCGAAAGGTCTCGGGTTCGATTCCCGATTCTGCGACTTTCGGATCTATATTTTTCTCTCGCACTTTATTTCTTTAGGGGGAATAGGGGATACATGGAATTAAAAATCTCTTGTAGAGATTATTTCAATTTTATATCTTGGCCGTGTCCAAGTAAAAATTTGGTGCCTTGTGCACAGGTATTTAATTCTAACGAAAAAATTTAGTTTCGTTTAGAATAACGCACTGTCATCCGCGATTTGGCTCTTATTGCCTATCTTATATATGTTAAATTTATATTTATATATTACAGAGCCTAGTTAAACTCTTAATTTATACACGCTGGCTTAAAGGCGTTTATTTACCAACATTAATATATATAACAGAGAAAAGTATAGAATCGAAAGGATCTGAATAGCTCAGTTGGAAGAGCAGTCGCCCGGCAAGCGAAAGGTCTCGGGTTCGATTCCCGATTCTGCGACTTTCGGATCTATATTTTTCTCTCGCACTTTATTTCTTTAGGGGGAATAGGGGATACATGGAATTAAAAATCTCTTGTAGAGATTATTCCAATTTTATATCTTGGCCGTGTCCAAGTAAAAATTTGGTGCCTTGTGCACAGGTATTTAATTCTAACGAAAAAATTTAGTTTCGTTTAGAATAACGCACTGTCATCCGCGATTTGGCTCTTATTGCCTATCTTATATATGTTAAATTTATAAATACATATATTTCTATAATAAATATATATAAATTATATTTTGCAAATATAGTAACGATTATAAGCAATGAGATTATAAAGTAAATGAGAATAACTCATCCTACATTTTTGTGTACACATGAAAATGTAGAATAAACTACTCTCGTTTACTAGACTTCCAAATTGATATCTAAACATTCACTTATATTCTTTTATCCAATGTGAAATCCAGTCTGATCTAATTTTAGGTAAAAAGCTATCCGTATAGCCAATAAATAGATTTATAGTTTATCTAACATCACATTTTGACGATAAAACAGGAAAAAAACAACAGACTTCTCAAAGGCGTTCAGAATCTTCTTAAGCCACAATTATATTTTCATAGTAAAACGCTTGTAACATATACTACACCGCCAGACAAGACTGCGCGCGAAAGCACTCGCGGAAATCCGTCCGTAAAGTCGTGCACTCGTTCGTGCCTTCGCCGCTACGCGGCGTCTTTTCTCGCAGTTAGAATTCCGCTGAGTGAGGATATAAGGCCACGCGCTGCACTGCCGAAACATGTTTGTGAATATATACGTATACATATATACGATCAATGAGTGCCATTAAATTATTATTGGACACTCTGTTTATAGCAGTATTTTATTGTAAAATTACTTGAAGAGACATTTTTGGTCAACAAGTATGTCGGAAAACAACTGTGACTTTTTCGAAAGTAAAGATTTTAGCCTAACTCTTTTTAAATTTAAATTCTCATTTTTCAAAATAAAGGACGGTATTCCATAGTCCGTTCTTATATTTAAGACTGTCTTAAGTACAAAGTCTTTTAAGATGCTTTTCTCTTCTTAAGCTTAGTCGGATTCATAATCAAATCTTGATGGTCTTATTTAGTGATGGGGGCATAATCGGTCATTTCAAAAAATCGATTGGACTACTATAATAATCGATTATAATTGTGTAATTCTGTTATTTTCTTTATCTCAGTAATTATTTAACACACTTATTTCAATACAACTTTTGGAAAAGAATATCAAAATAAATAAAAATTACTCAAATATATGAAAATATTAAATATTAAATAACTCAACTTAAAAATTTTTATTTGAAAAGTATTTATTCAAAATATTTATTCAAAATTATAAACTTGCATTTAAAATAGTTTAATATACAAGTTTATAATTTTTATTCAAAAAACTTAAGATTTTTACATTTTTCGAAGATAATCGGTTTCTTCTTTCAGAAATAATATATTCAGTAGTAGAGAATAACCGTTCTACAGGTACAGAACTGCCTGGAGTACATAAATATTTTAAGGCTATTTGAAAAATTTCTGGATGCCTATTTTTTAAATAATGTAGAGGATCTTCGGACAAATTAATATTTGCACATGTTAGATAATTTCTTGTTAAAACAATATTATCAATATTAGCTACAGAAGATTGCGACGAATGTTCCATAAAACTGAAGATTCCAGTAGGCTTGGCAACACTACAATTGTTTGTCTTGTTATTAATAAAGTGAGTTAGGTTAACATTTTTTTCAATTTGATCCGAACTTTTAAATTGAGCAGCAAGAAGATTTTGTAACATGTTAACTGCTTCTTCGTAATTTGCTTGTGAACGAAATCCTATTTTTTTAAATCTTGGGTCAATCAACGTAGCTACTTTGCCAATCGTTCTTTGTTCATAATGTATTAATTTTTCGTCAATAAATTGTCGAATTTTTTCATAAAATGAAAGTGCTGCTGGATAACTTAATGTTTTATGAATAGCTTCCAGTTTTAATATTATGCCTTTTATACAAGGAATTACGAGTGAAATAGAAACATAATCTTCACCTAGAAAAATTAAAACATTTTCAATAAGATTCATATATATTATATTCAGATAAAAAGTTTGCAATATATATTATAATATATATATATATATACATACCAGAAATATCTTTAGTTGCTTGCTCAAAAGGTTCTAATATCATATTTATTTGCTTGGTTAATTGTATTTCTTCTTTTGTTAAAATTGGAAGTTCTGAGTACTCGTCATTTAGTTGAATCAATTTAATACCATTATGATTATCAATGATACTATTGATCATATGATATAATGTATTCCATCTTGTGTCAATCTATATATTGTAACATAGAAAAGATATAGAAAAAAGAATTGTTTTTTATATTTAATAAAATCTGTTGACACATTTTTAAATTAATTACTTAATACTTACATATTGTATTAATTTACAAGGAACAGTTTCTCCTTCCTCAGCTAATTTTTGTTTGCTTCTTTTAACATTCTACTAGCCTTAGACTGTGATGAAAAAATGTGACTAAGTTTTTACATTTTGTAATAATTGAAAGAACCTCTTTGTTATTACATTTTGTAATAGCATTTTTCAAAACGAGATTGAGACTATGTGCAAAACATGGAAAATGTTTTTTATTGAGCAACTCAACAGTTAGCTTCATGTTTGCTGCATTATCAGTTACAATATGATTCACTTTGTCAAATATTTCCCAATCAGTTAAACAGTTTCTGATTAACTGACTTAAGTTATTTGCAGTCTCGTCTTTTTCAATTAATATTACATCTAAGGTAGTAGAATGCAAAGTCAAAAAATTAGTTACTTTAAAAAAGTGACACGTAATACCCAAATAGCTTTCATTTGCATTGGATGTCCATCCATCTATTGTTAAAGAAACAGCATGAGTTTCTCTTAATAAAGTTTTCAAATTATTCTTTGCTATTTCATAGCATTCAGGTAATATGGAGTTAGTTAATGATTTTCTTGAAATTATATTGTATCTAGGATTTAAAGCATGTATAAATTCACGAAATCCCTCGTCTTCAACTAAAGATAAAGGCTGAAAATCTCTGGCTACCATCATAGCGAGTTTCTGATCTAAGTCTTTTTTTTTTTACTATTTTTATCGTATGGAATAACGCTTTTGAATAGATTTTTAAATGATTTTTTTTAGACATAGAACCTAAAGACAGCCAAACAATATAAAGAAAAATAATGTAATAAAGATAAGTATAAAATAATATAAGAAGGATAAATATGATATAATTAATGTTCTTATTATTATTAACTAACCTGAAACACAGACATTTGTGGAGGTGATTGATTTTGAATCCTCGGAACATAATCCTTCAGAATCTGAACCACTTAAATATTGTTTATTAAATTCGACTTCATGTTGTTTCTTTATATGTATCAAAAAGTTAGTAGTATTCCCACAATTTTTAAATATTTTCTTACAAATATTGCATCGAGCATGTGTTGTATCAATTTTTGTAAAAAAATCCTATGCATTAGACTTTGTACGATACATTCTTAAAAATAAAAATTTAATATTTAATAAAATTATACACACATTTTATATAGTCTATATATAGTCTGTAAATAAAAATAATGTATTGTTTCTTGATTTTTACGTACCGTTTTTTTAACTTTTTCTCTTGCTTGCTACTATTTATACTGCTATTTACACTATTTATACTATTTATACTGCTATTTACACTATTTACAGATTTATTGCTATTTACAAAACAAAAGAAAAAAATTACATATTAGTAATATTCAGCATAAGAAAAAAATAAACTCATTCTATACAATATAAATATTAATTACAAACCTAGTATTAAATTCTTTCTTTGAATTTTTTGAATATTCTGTATTATCATTATCAGAAACATTTCCAAAACATAAGGATGCTTTAGAACTGTAAATCAAAGATAATAGATGTGTGTATATACAAATATTTTTTATAATGATCTGTAGCATAAAAATGTCTTACCGTTTTACACAAGAAAGAAAAGAAGCTTTACTGGATATAGTTGATCGGCTTCTATAAGTTTCTATTTCACTCTCTGAAGTAGACATCTCTATTATCTCTAATATTTTAAGAAAAAATGATTATTGAAAGAATAATTGCATGATGCTACTATAACAACTTTAGTTATTATAAATTAAATAAAAGTTATTTTTATATTATTTTTATATTAACTTAATAAGAATTACCTTCATTATCATTTTCATTTTGTAATCTCTCTCCCCTATTTTTTTTATTTTTTATCCAATTTTTCAACATGTTTATCCAGGTACAGATGGTTGATCAGCGACTGAAGGTTATTTATTATTAAGTATTAAAAAATATTTTCGTGAATATAAATTCCGAGATGTTCCACAAGTTTATAATAAATATATACGTACCACACTTTATAAATTAGAGTTTCCTTTACTGATTACTGATTCTAGATATTCTACGCACTGCGAACACGCACTACGGCCACTACGCAATACGTACAACGTACATAGTACATAGAGTCACTGGTCTTGTTTGCAATGACATACGGTCATACGCGTACTAAGCACTACTACTGCCCAATAGCCGCGTTCAGACCAATCACAAACTGAAATTATATCAGAACTTTGATGTGATTGATCAGATGAAAGTCAGTCGGCCTTCTGATACGGGCTTTAGAGAAATGGATATGATTGGCCAGTGTAAATACTTACAATACGCATATCTAAGTCGATCCCAATTTGTTAGTTTGGATCACGTGACGTCTTTTGATGCTGAAAATGAGCGTGAGCATGAATTTGCATCTTAATTGAACTCATTCTCAAAGGAACAAGAAAAAACGAAAAAAATAGTCGATTATTGTTTGAATAATCGATTAACATCGATTAAGTTTTTTTTGCATTAATCGATTGTTTTCGATTATTTATTTTTAGATAATCGATTAATCGATTATAAATCGATTATTTGCCCATCACTAGTCTTATTTGAATCAAATAAGATCGTGTTTATTAGAAAGTAAGGTTATGTTTTCAAATCAGTCGTACATGACTTTAAGATAAGCTTATTATTAAATATTATGGAATTAATGGAAGAAATTGATGATATTGAAAATATTGATGTGAAATATTGATCGTGATTTTCAAGTAGAGAGACCGCGTACGAAAACGATACATTCGTGATGGACTTTTTAAAACCCTTTTATAATAATTTACAATTTAAAAGACGCTATAGATTAATAAGGATTCCTCCTATAAGGAATATTACCAAAAATTGAAGAAGGATTAGAGCAAAAATTAACAATCGTGGTCTGCCGATTCCACCAGTACAATACAAATTGTTAATATGCTTAAGATACTACGCAACACACACACACACACACACACACACACACACACACAGAGAGAGAGGGGTGTGTCTAAAAATAAATATATTAATAAAATTTATCTTTATTATTATTTTTAATTATTGCATTTACTGGATTATTTTCTTTTTCAGCATCATCAGTCTCATTACTGCTTGAGTCTGTAACATTCAATTGTCATTGTCATAAATTCTAAATTCTTATTCATAAACAAATATGTTAATAGAAAATATCAATAAAATTAATTATCATTTGTATGAAGTGTGATAATAGAATCATTATTAACTTCCTGGAAATTATCATCAATAAAGTCTATGCTCTCCACATTTTCAATTAATTCCTCAGGAATACAATCATTAATATTCTTTGTTGTCGTTCTGAAAAATATTCATTGTTACTATTTTTTCAATTTTTATTATAATATAAATAAATAAAATAAAGATGAAATTACCTTCTAGTATTTTATCTGATAAATTTGATGAAAATAATGTTGGCGCAATTGTCATTAAATTGGGTGCTATTGCGGCAATGTCCGAGTCAATCTCTGCAGATTTAGGTTCAGGTCCACCACCTGTTGATAAACGTGCATGTTTTTCCTGCGTAAGGACATCTCTCTGTACTGATTTTAAATTACCCCATAATTTTCTAAATTGAACGCTTCTCTGTAATAATTTATTACACATTAAAATGTTAAAAATTAAATTGCTTTGAATATAAAAAGTATTTAAAATCTAGCTTAAAATGAAACTATCTACCGCAAATATCATATTAGATTTTCTTCAGATATAATTAACATTTTTATTTTTAGCATTTAACATACCTAATTAGAAAAAATATATATTTCTTACCTTACTTGTAACAATAGATATATGCATCGCAAGTTTGATTCCATGCTTCTTCTTTGTCTTTCAAAGTTGTAGTATCACTTTTTTTCAAGGAGAATATTTTGTTAAAATTTTAAGGAAGAATTCTTTTCGGGATCTATATGTTTTTTGCTTGACATTTTTTTTTACAGAAAAGTCACTTTCTAACAATACTTTAGAGTCTGCAATAATTTGATACATGAATAAATGGTATAGACATACAACTCGTTAAATTTTTCTATATTTAAACACACATTTCATTGGCTGATACATCAGAAAAATCCCGAAGATTACTGAAAGTAAATCAGATCATCTTAAGCACTAACTTCAGTAAAAAAATCTTAAATAAAAAGAAGTGCTTATTTCTTTATGAAGATCGTCTCATTTTAAATAAAACTGTGAATACATGAAGTCTCAAGTCATACTTATACAAACAAGACGATCTTAATCAAGAAAATCTTAAGACGATGTTTAAGCTTGGACTATGAATACCGTCCAAAGTCTCTAAAATTTGTCTATTTTTTTATTCCTTTGATTATTTTAAAATGTGTATTGCATAAAAAAATTATACTGATTTATTTGATTGTGGTAACTTTTAGGTATACTATACTCGATATATTACATTTGTCAAAAGTATCAAGTTATTTTACGTTTATTGATAGAATTTTTGTGAAGATAGATATAATATATAATGACTTTAGCATGTCTCTCTCTAGATATAAGAAAATATTTCTCTAGATATAAGAATATATTAATTAAAAAAAAATATTGTGTTATAAGCAATAAGAATAGTAATGTTATAATATTAATTTGTTGTATAAAATATTATAATCCTTTTAAGGTTGATTACGATAGTGACAGCAAAAAGAGAGTTAGAAAGAAAAAAGTTATTGTGCAACCGGCGCGCGGAAAGTCGCCCTTTGATGGGATTTTAGAAAGGGCTCTTTCCACGCACCGGTCACAAAATATCGTAGCCAACATGTGCGGGTCGTAAATCGGCCGAGAGTGCGGAAGTTTGGCGCACGAGGCTTCGCCTCATATTCTTGATATGAGCAATATAAAAATCACTTTCTGTTACGTAAATTCTAATTGACTAATGGGTTTATTTATGCTCGCATATTCTATCAAAGATTTATTTCGCCGTAACTCAATAACACTCCTGAGGGGTTCTCATTTTACTTTATTTAATTTCTTTTTCATTCATCCAACTCACTCATATGCATTTATTATAACAATAATATTTAGACATGCATAAATTGTCGACGTTGTCTTTATCCGTTTTTTACAATATGCTACATTAAATAATAATATATTTAGACTATCTATATTTAGACATTCGCCTAATAATATATTTAGACTATCTATATTTAGACATTCGCCTAATAATATATTTAGACTATCTATATTTATAGACATTCACCTCTGGTTTTGAAATATTAATTTAAAATTCCAAATAAAATTTACCTAAATAGAATATAATATATATTTATATCATTAAATTTCGGGTGTTAACCTATCGTTAATTATAACATACAATATTCTAATTAAATATAAAATAATTTACATTTATAATATCCTATTTGGATATTCACCTTTCATTAATTGGTTAACTATTAGAGTTTATCTATTATACATTATAGGATTTTACAATTGGCCTAGTACCCAAAATTGGTTACCAGGTTACTTATATTGGCGCGGTAATAGCAATCATAACTGGCCTATCAATGGGAATATTATGGAATGAGAACTTCGGTCTGATAAAGGATAATTATACGCGGCCAAACATGGTGAACAATGTTCAGCCATTAATGGTTAGTTAATTTATTATGCCCATATTCAATGCCAATAATGGCTTTAATATAGTGCCGTACTTTCTTTATTTTTTTAAATATTTAATAATTGTTTATATAATTATATTGCTATTATACTAAAAATAACTTGTTGGAGAAAATTATTATTTCTGCATAAAGTACCTACATATTTATTAAAATATCTTTTGTATACAATTTTGAAATTTATATTAAACGTAAACTTTTAAAGACTTTTAAAAAACGTACTTTTAAAGAAATACATATTAATTATATATATATATAAGTTCTGTTTATTTAGATTATGAATTATATGAATATTCTATTATTTTTTTAGTTTTAGAACTCAGAACTCAGAACACATTTAAAAATAGTGTCACATATCAACTGTGTCAGAAAAACAAAGATAATGAAAAAATAAATTAAATAGTTCTAAACAATATTAAATGTAAAAGACGTTTACATCTAGAGACGTTTACATCTTAAAAATTTACATGCATTCTCGTTAATTCATATTATGACTGAAGGTAATACTGGAATATTAATCAAAATAATCATTATGTTTATAATTTATCGTCACTATGTAGAAAAAAATGACCCATTGTTTTCTAGTTCGTGTGTGAAATTTAAACGAGTGTGGTAATTATTGAAACTCGTGAAAACCTGTTCAATCTTGTCTTCCGGAATAATAGCAATGATGTCGTCTACATATCTATAATATAGAGGAATTGTGAAATCCAACATGTTTAGGATTCTAAGTCATTAAGTGCTAAATCCGCCAAAATCGGAGAAAACGGAGATCCCATCTAATCGGACTGCCAAAAACTTGTTCATAAAACTTGTCATTGAATTTAAAACTCGTTGATTCTAAGATTACTCTAATCGCATATAAAAATTATTGTAAGTTAAATTTAGTATTACTGGTTATTTCCGTCCAACGTTTTCAATCGCCTTGAACACCAATTCACTAGGATAACTTAGTGAACAAGGAAGTGACATCTAAGGATATCAGTATCTTGCCATCATTCATCGTTCTATTTTCGATAACTTTAGCGAAAAGACCAACCATCTCTAATGTGTGATTTTGATTTCTGTGTTGATTTGACCAGAATGCCATGTATGTAATCAGCCAATTATATAGAGGACTGCCTAAAGTTGAGATAATAATTCTTAGAGGAAAATTAGTTCTATGCATTTTCGGAAGCTCGTAACAACGTCGAAGATCTCCACTTGTGTTCTTAGAAATTTGTACGTCGACTCGTCGATTAAATCATTGTCACGCCACGATTTAACGAGAGAGTTAATCTTATTGTTAATTTGTTTAGTCGGATCTTTTTTCAGTGTTTTGTACGTGGACTCATCGCTAAGTAACACGTTCATTTTCTCAATATAGTCAGTTTTATCCATTATCACAGTAACTTGTTCTTTATCAGCTCTGTGACCAATAGATCGTCATTCGCACGTAGAAATTT